GGCCTCTCCCGCCGCGGAGCACAGGCTCCGGACGCGCAGGCTCAGCGGCCATGGCTCACGGGCCCAGCCGCTCCGCGGCATGTGGGATCTTCCCGGACCGGGACACGAACCCGCGTCCCCTGCATCGGCAGGCAGACTCTCAACCACTGCGCCACCAGGGAAGCCCTTAAGTACTTTTTGAGAGTACTTTAAGATGATAACAAAATGGTCTCAGGTGCCACCATCTACATGTTGTAGGGAGTCTAGATCATGATGCAGACGACAACCTGACCCACAGAAGTGTTGTGATTGACTTGCACAATATTATAAAGGTGGGAAATTTTGCAGAGAAATCTGGTTTTCCATCTCCTCTTAGAAGAAGAAAAATACAACCTGTCAAAGGTGGGCCTGCATTCTAGTGTGACAGTAATCAGCTGGATCTGACTCATTACATTTACACACACACGAATTGTATACCTCTGCTTGGCTGGTCTCCACCACTCCTTATTGACTGCACACAGCCTACCTTATTTGATTTCTCTCTAGCTCCAGTGATGGTTGAGTTAGAAACCCTTGACCTGGCCAGCTGTTTCATGCAGAATATCTTAGGGGATCCCTCTTGCCAGTGCCAGCTACCCAAGATGCAGTATTGTGTATTCAAGTGTTGCTAAGAGAGTGAATTTTAAGCATTTTCTTCACAGGGAAAAAAAAATGTAACCGTGAGGTGATGGATGTGAACTAAACTTACTGTGGTAATCATTTCACAATGCATGCATGTTTCAGATCATTAGGTTGTACACCTTAAATTAATGCAGTGTTAAATGTCAAGTATATCTCAATAAAACCGGAAAAAAAATTTGGCTCCAGGGTCCACTAAAAGTCATCATCTGTAAGCATCTCAATTTTATTTCCAGGGTGCAGTCTGCTATTAGCAATGTTGTCTATGAATGTTTTTATTCTTTCCCACTAACTTATGCAAAGAAATAGTCAAGTGCCCAGTCAATCCTCATGATCTTTAAAGACACTTAAAAGCTTAAAGATGTTAAAATGCACTACCTTGGTTTCATTTCTTTGGGGTTATGTGTAGCAAATGTCTTGGTATTTGCAAGTTGAAGTAGCTGTTTTGTTCCAGGTGTTTTTAACATTCTGTAGCTGTAATAGCAGTGTAGATATGCTGATCTCAGAAAATGTAATTTGCGTTCTTAGATATGTCATCCCTTTTTTGAGAGTTAACAAAATGCTCTTGACCTAAAGAGTAATTAATAGCAGAGATTTTAGCTTCCTGTTACTTAATTGGAAGAATCTTAGTAATTTTGACAGAATTGGACAGTTGTGTTGTTTTCCACAGTACTATTTGGCTCACAAAGATAGCTCCAAAGAAGTCATGTCTTTGTATATTCTCAGCCTCTTGTATAAAAGTTTTGATTCAGCTGCTAAAATTGCTTGTTACATTTCTTAAATTGCTGATGACAGTGTGTCTCAAACTTCCATTGTTATTCTGTGTATAAAGTTGCACTCTATTTACTTGACATTTGATTAAGTTAAATGGTGTATTTGTTGCAACAATAACATGTAATAACGTATTTTTCTTTTTTTAAAAAATAGATTTGGACTGAGCAACAAATTTGAATCAGAATTCCCTTCTTCATTAACTGGAAAAGTGAGTGTCAATATTTAGGTATTATTTATATGCCTCAAAACTAAAGTCTTTTCCTAACAAATTAGAAAAATTTATGCTAATGAGACATGTTTATTGACATTAATACTGCAGTGTTGTTATTTCTTAAAATTTTTCTTTAGGTAGCTCCTGAAGAATTTAAAGCCAGCATCAACAGAGTTAACAGTTGTCTTAAGAAGAACCTTCCTGTTAATGTACGTTGGCTACTTTGTGGCTGCCTTTGTTGCTGCTGCACACTAGGCTGCAGTATGTGGCCAGTTATTTGCCTCAGTAAAAGAGTAAGTTGAATTATATATTTTAATTTAAATATAGAAGTTGACAAGCCAAATCTTGCATTTACCTAGTTTTTATTTTTTGTATTGAATGCGTCACACTATTCTGAATACTATACAGAAATAATTTGATCCAATAGAGGAGTGATTAAGTTACGTCCACATGCTGTTATATTAAATAGCAATCTGAAAATTATAATTTTTATGACATAGGACATTACGTTAGGGTAGAATATAGCGTTCTCTATGTATACATTGATGGTGGTAATTGAAAATTTGGGTTCAGGTCTGCCACTCATCTCTGACCTTCTAGGCATGTTTCCTAACCTATTTATTTATTTGTTTGTTTGTTTATTTATTGCTGCATTGGGTCTTTGTTGCTGTGTGCAGGCTTTCTCTAGTCGTGGTGAGCGGGGGCTACTCTTTGTTGCAAAGCTCGGGCTTCTCATTGTGGTGGCTTTCTCTTGTTGCAGAGTGCGGGCTCTATAGCGCAGGCTCAGTAGTTGTGGCGCATGGGCTTAGTTGCTCTGTGGCATGCGGGATCTTCCCGGACCAGGGCTCGAACCCATGTCCCCTGCATTGGCAGGTGGATTCTTAACCACTGCGCCACCAGGAAAGTCCCTTCCTAAGCTTTTTAAACTGTAGTTGACATATTTGTAAAATGACAATATTTACCTCCCTACTTGAATAGGACTGTTGTAAGGATAAAATAAAATAGTGTTTGTAAAGCTTTTAGTTGAATAGCTCAGAGCAAGAGTCTAATATATGTTGATTAATAGCATTATTACTGATATGTAAGGTAGTACCCATAGAAAAAATCAAATGGTAATAGTGCTTATTTTTATTTGGTGAAATTATGGGGAATTCTGTTTTCTTTTTTTATTTAAAGAAAATTTTTTGTTATTTTACAAGTTTCCTGTGATGAGTACATAGTAATCCTGTAATCTGAAAAAATGATCTAAAGTGTAATAATTTTGACTGCTTATAATAAAAACTTTCCAAGATGTGGGTAGAGATAAGGCAAATTAGTATAGATTGAATGTGTTATATTTTTGTTAAAAAGCTTTAAAAAATTGTGGTAATTAAATGTATAAAAATGAAATACCATTACATTGAAATTGAATGTATAGTTTTGTGTGGCTACATTTCATTTTGTCATCAAATGATAGGAAATATGGAAAAGCACATTTTATTTGTCCTTTTTTGTTTTACATAATAGGATGTATATTTCTACTGGAAAAATATTTAGCTAGTGCATTTTATCAATAGGAAGTAGATATTGCCTTCATAATAAAATTACTATTGTAATATTTACTTTTTTATATTCCAAGAATATTTCTTTTTTTTCCCCTCATAGTTCTTACCAGAGCATCTTCCTACCATAGATTAAAAGGAAAAAAAAATATGGTTGTACCTGCATCCACAGTTGAATTTGTAGCTCTTATAGTTTAGAGCCTCTCACTCCCTCCTACTGTTTGGGCATTTCTATTGTTTAAGTGACTGCTATATCTTACTTGGTTGGCTGTTATTTAACCCAAGGAATCAGAGAGTTTTATTACTGTAGAAACCTTTGTGACCTAGTTATTTTTATCTTTTTGAGGTTTTGAGATTCTGTTTTTTACTTTTTAAATGAGTAAACAAGACATTGCAATGTGCACACAGTGTAGGATTTAGAAAACAAAAGTAAACTTCCTACCCTTCTCCATGAATTCTTAGTAAGAAGATCATATTTCAGATGCTTTCATTAAATTCCTTCTTATTTGAGACATAAGGTAGATTGACTTTTTTAGGTTATTTCAGTCTGTAGTTTCAGAAAGTACACTTCATTCAACTGTGTATTATTACGTATAAGATCTTTCTTGTATTTATATGATTTAATTTTATATGGACTCTACTGTCCAGTGGGCATAAAAAATTTGACTACTGCTTAAAAAACTGTGCATTTCCCTATCGAGGGTTTAAACTATTATATAATTGGAGAGAGGGACCCTTCATGCATGTATGAAGAGTATTAGAGGCCCTGAAAAAAGGGGTGCTTTGTAAGATGGGGGCAGGATGATTTGGAACAGGGATTTTTAACCTTTTATTTATCATAGACCCCTTTGATGGTCTGGGGAAGCCTATGAACCCTTTCTTAGAATAATGTTTAATTTGTGTTTGGAAAGGTTTAATGTATCTTAAGTGTGTTTTCAAATACCTTGGATTATTCAGGAAACCAATTACATAGTTATCAAAATACTGAAACCCCTCAAATGTATGATTTATAAATATTTATTAATGCATGCAAAATAAGATAGCAGGGGACTCATGGTAGTATGATGTTATAGGAAAAATCTGATTTCTATGAGTGATAAATATACAGGTCCTATTTAAACTACCACAGTTAGTTGCATGCATTCATAGCCTAAGGAAATATACTACATTTCAGTTAGAGGTTAGTGAAATTAAAGATGAATTTTTGTTCTGTCCACTTTCACAGACTGCTGGACTTCTATGTAGGTGTTCCATGTTAAGAACCCTTGATTTAGAGGTACTAGTATAAATAAAAGCTAAAACCCAGCCTGATTGCCAGCCTCTGAACCCCTCTGAACCTCTGCTTTGTCCTCGTTTGTGATGTGGAATCGTCTTATACGGTTAGAATTGTCTCACTCTAAGGCAAATCAGCACCAAAGGCATACTCCATATGCAGCTTAGCGTTTTCACCTTCCTAATGTTACTTAATAGTTTGAATAGCTAGATTTCTGCCTTGTCTTTGAAACCCATCCCCAAATGAGTGATCCTTTTTATGACCTGGCCATGTTCCAGAGACCTGGTTTTTAATCTGTCCTATCGTTATTATTTTTAGATCTTCCAAATTGCCTTTTCCTTTTAATTTTTTTAAAAATTTATTTATTTTTTGGCTGCGTTGGGTCTTCGTTGCCGTGTGTAGGCTTTCTCTAGTTGCGGCGAGCGGGGGCTACTCTTCGTTGTGGTGCACGGACTTCTTGTTGCGGTGGCTTCTCTTGTTGTAGAGCATGGGCTCTAAGTGTGTGGGCTCAGTAGTTGTTGCTCGCGGGCTCTATAGTGTAGGCTCAGTAGTTGTAGTGCACGGGCTTAGTTTCTCCTGGGCATGTGGGATCTTCCTGGACCAGGGCTTGAACCCGTGTTCCCTGCACTGGCAGGCGGATTCTCAACTTCCCACCAGGGAAGTCTGCCTTTTCCTCTTAAAAAAATTACCTTAGCCTATTTTTGAAAATTATTTAATATACAGTAAAATTTTCTCTTTTTGATGTACAGTTCTATGATTTTTGACAAATGCATAGAGTTGTGTAACTGTTGCCACAATCAAGATACATTACAGTTCTTTCACTTCAAAAAACTTCCTTTTTCTGTCCCACTGCAGTCACACCCTCTTTCTCAGTTTTTAAACCCTGGCAACACTGATCTGTTCTCTATCCCTATGGTTCTGCCTTTTCTAGAATATTGTATGAATGGAAGTATACAGTGTATATAGCCACTTGAATCTGGCTTCTTTCATTCAGGTAGTGCATTTTAGAGTCATCTATTTTGTTTCATGTAGCAATAGTTTATTCTTTTTTATTGCTGAGTAGCATTCTATTGTATGGATGTATCACAATTTGTTTATCCATTCACCAATTGAAGGACATCCCTTGTCAGATATATAACTTGCAAATATATTTTTGCAGTCTGTAATTGTCTTTTCATTCTCTTATCGTCTTTGGCAGAGCAAAAGTTTTTTATTTTGCTTAAGTCCAATTTGTTAATTTTTAAAAAGTTGATTGTGCATTTGGTGTCATATCTAAGAATTCTTTGCCTAAATTAGGGTCACAACATTTTTCTCCTGTGATCTCTTCTGCATTTTACTTTTAGGTCTTCCACCCATTTTGAGCCAGTATTTGTACAGGTGTGAGTAGATCAAAGTTCATTTTTTGCATATAACTTCAAGTTTTCCAGGATGATTTGTTGAAAAGACTATCCTTTTTCCATTAAATTGCCATTGTATGGGTACATTGTGAAAAGTCAATCAACCATATTTATGTGGATCTACTTCTGGACTCTGTTCTGTTCTATTGACTTCTATGTGTCCATCTTGATTTCAATACCATGTGGTCTTATTTATAATATTTTATAGCTGTATAGTATATAGTATATATATATGCTATAGTGCTGTAGTACCTACTATAAAACTATAAAGTACTATATACAAGATACATCTATATATATGTATATATAGTATCTAGTGTGTGTGTGTGCGTGTGTGTGTGTGTGTGTGTGTATATATATATATATATATAGTATCTAGTGTGTGTGTGTGCGTGTGTGTGTGTGTGTGTGTGTATATATATATATATATATATATATATATAGTTTAGTACCTTATAGCTTCATAGTAAGTGTGGAAATCAGGTAGGGCAAGTCTTCCAAACTTCATTCTTCTTTTTCAGGATTTTGGCTATTCTAATTTCTTTCATTTTTCATATATGTTTTAGAATCAGATTGTTGTGTCTAAAAAAATATGCTGGGGTTTTGATAGATTGAAATTATAGATCAATATGGAGAAAATAGACATCTTAGCAACAAGTCTGCTAAACCATTAATGTGGCATACCTCTCTATTTATTTAGGTCTTCTTTGATTTCTTTTTCATCAGTATTTTGTAATTTTTTGCATAGCATACAGATCATGCACATATTTTGTTAGCTTTATATGTACTTATTTCTTTGGTTTTGGTGCTATTAATGGTATTTTTAAATTTTTGATTTCCAGTTGTTCATTGCTAGTACATAAAAAATACAATTGATTTTTGTATGTTGACATTGTGTCCTGTGATCTTATTATATTCCAGGAATGTTTTTGTACATTCTATGGGATTTTCTACATAGATAACCATGTTGTTTTATTTCTTGATTTCTAATCTGTATACCTTTTATTTCTTTCTCTTTTTTCACTGAGTAGGATTTCCAGTAAAATGTTGAATAGGAGTGATGAGAGTGGACTCCTTTAGGC